ATGGGGAGTAAACATTTGCTTTACGAAATGATCTTTCAAAGAAGTCTAATCTTCCCTGTGCCCTAAATCAGTATGTCTGACATCAGTGAACCCCATACAAGATTCCCGAACAAAAGAAGGTTCTGAAAAATGCCTAGAATAGTGTCACCCAATTAAAATATGATGCGAGCCACGTATGTAAATTTACATTTTCTAGTAGCTACAGTCTTAAAAAGTAAAATTAAGATGAATAAAACATTTTGCTTAATATTTCTAAAATATTATTTCAACATGTAATCAATATTAAAAATATTAAGGTATTTATTTCACACTTTTTTTGTACTAAATCGGTGAAATTCGGTGTGCATTTTACACTCACTTCACATCTCAATCTGGACTGGCCATAGTTCAAGTGCTCTATAGCCACATATGGCTAGTAGTAGCTATCACATTGAACAGTACAGATTCAGAATGCACTTTTGGAAGCATTTCTTGGAATCGTTAAGATACTTTTATCATTTTTGTTTGTTTTCTAATTTATAAAAATAAAGCAAATCAGTTTTTCACTGTGAAAAACACACAGAAAAGCTCAATATTGAAAGGTACCCATAACCCTATACCTAAAATACCACTTTTGGATATGTATGCTTGTAAGACATTGTTCTACATCAAAAATATATGTAGGGTAGGCTTTCTAAAGAGTGAGGCCTGTATCGCTCGCTCTTAAACCTATTAAACAAATTTCCAAATAAAATGAAACAGATTCTCTATTTTCACAGTTTTATTACCTTTTGAGACTATATTTAAATGAGTATATCCTAGAATTTTGGAGTTTTATAGGGAACCATTGTCATTTTAGGGAAATTTTGCTTCTCCACATTACCTACAGCTCTCAAGCCATCCTACTTCTCCAATTTCTTTCTTGTCATCTGTCTACTCTGTTCTTCCCTTTTCAAAAGAAGGGGAGAGGGAGAGGGGCAGGGAGGAAGGGGTGCATAACAGATAAGAAAAACTTCATTTCAAGAACGTGGAGGGTTTGACTATACTCGTTTCCCTTTGCTTTATTACTTGGCAAACAGCTTGGAGTCTGTAAGTGACTATTTCACATCGCTTTCCAGGCCTCACCTTCAGAAGTCACAGAATGAATTCCACCACCACACAGCCTCCAGAGCAGTCCTGCCCCCGGAACACCCTCATCACTCAGCAACTCGTTCCTGTGCTGTACTTCATGGTCTTCATCGCAGGGATCCTGCTCAATGGCGTGTCGGGATGGGTATTCTATTATGTGCCCAGCTCCAAGAGCTTCATCGTCTATCTCAAGAACATCGTTGTTGCTGACTTTCTGATGAGCCTGACTTTCCCTTTCAAGATTCTCAGTGATTCGGGCCTGGGGCCTTGGCAGCTGAACGTGTTTGTGTGCAGGGTCTCAGCCGTGCTCTTCTACATCAACATGTACGTCAGCATCGTCTTCTTTGGGCTCATCAGCTTTGACAGGTATTACAAAATTGTAAAGCCTTTTCTGACTTCTTGCATCCAGTCAGTGAATTACAGCAAACTCCTGTCAGTGATGGTGTGGACGCTGATGCTTGTTCTCGCCGTTCCCAATAGCATCCTGACCAACCGGAGCGTGAAGGAGGTCATGCACATAAAATGTGTGGAGCTTAAAAATGAACTAGGACTAAAGTGGCACAAAGCATCAAACTACATCTTTGTGAGCATCTTCTGGATTATATTTCTTTTGTTAATCATTTTCTATACTGCTATCACGAGGAAAATCTTTAAGTCCCACCTTAAGTCCAGAAAGAATTCCATTTCGGTCAAGAGGAAATCCAGCCGCAATATATTCAGCATCATGCTCGTATTTTTTGTCTGTTTTGTACCTTACCACATTGCCAGAATCCCCTACACACAGAGCCAAATGGGAGGACATTACAGCTGCCAGTCAAAAGAAGTCTTGCACTATGTGAAAGAATTCACTCTGCTGCTGTCAGCTGCAAACGTGTGCCTGGACCCCATTATTTATTTCTTTCTATGCCAGCCATTTAGAGAAATCTTATGTAAGAAACTGCACATCCCATTAAAAGCTCAGCATGACTCAGAAACTTCCAAAGCCAAGAGGGGAAATACAATGCATGAAAGCACAGATACTCTGTAATTGCTCACCTTTCAAATAAAGTCTGTGTATGCATATTGTAATCTTCAATTACATAAGAGGAATGAATGTGCAACATATCCATAATAATAGGTGTCATCCCTGAGCATTACTATCCAATTTAGTACAACAGTATAACTTTCCATGTTTTCTTGTAATATCAATGAAAATAATCATACATACATTTTTTAATCATATCAAAATAGGTTTACATTTATAATCATTAACTCAGTGAATCAATGTAGAACGTTAAATAGCAAATAAGAAAATAGGAAGCAATCAAGACTATTCACATGGGTGCTTTCCCCTCTAAACACAAGAATTAAGTTATTAAGTTATATAAATTTTTTCACAAATTCATTAGAAATCAACTTAAAAGTAGACATAGTTTAATAAAGGACTAGAGGCCTGTTTGTAGTGAAAGAGTCAAGTTTTCTCTGATTTGAAGGAGGAGGAAAAGTAGACATCCAGAATCACTTAAGAAATCCCTTACTGATTTATCTCATGGCATTTCAAAGGAAAGCAGATATAAATTACGTATTTTGCAATAAAAAAAAATGTAATTATTTTCTGATAGCATTTTGAGGATAATATAAAATACATTTTAAATATGTTCTCTACAAAAACTTTTTAAGCCACTTAATGAGCCTGGAGTTCTGGTGTTAGAATATTTTTAAGTGGATTCTACTAAGGGAAGCTAGATATTGGCATGTGTTGCCAGCAACTTCCCCTGTTCAGTGGTATAGACAAAAAAAAAAAAAAATAGAATGAGTGGGAAAAAGACACACATGCACGAACGCGCTCGCTCATTCTCTGGATGGCACCATACATTATTCTCTAGAGGCAGAGGGAAGCAGTTTTCTTAGAAAACTGGACTTGTTAAAAAGAAAACCTAAAATTTATAATAATGAGTGACAAGTTATACATAAAATGAAAATTTACACATTTTCTGAAAAACAAATGAATTAACATGTGGATATGGAATGTGGTTGCTGACGTGTGAGTTATCAAAACTAAATTCTTTCTCTGCTATTAACTTGATCGAAGACATCTGGTCATGTTCTTTTCAAACATTTTTGTAAGCATGTTTATATATATTTCAATAGTTACTATATGTGTACTAATAAAGAAGTTATTTTTAATTGTGTCAATTTTTCTTAATAATCAAGATATGAAAAAACATTACCAGATTTCCTCAGTCAAGACATAGATGGTTTCTTTAATACACTCAATTATGCATGCCAATAAGAAGTATGTTACATAAAGAATTCAAAAATTCTACTTGCTACTGACTTTTCAAAGAAAGTATTGCATATGCTCTAGGAACGCATCAGAGTTTAGGCAACTCTCAGAAAACACACCTTAAAACGAGGAAGAGATGAGGTTTTTACACTCTGTGTCTACTTTCTACCCTTGTAAAAGCTCCCTGTCCCCAACTCTAGGTTAAATATCCTCTTTCAAAAAAAATAAAATCACCAAACTACAACAAATGTACTTGGTAAAACTAAGCTTGCTGTATTTGTTTGGCTAAATGTTTGCAAAACAAACTGACTGTGTTTATTCTTCACAATTTCCATTGGCCAGCACGAATTAGTAAATACTGGTGTTTTAAACGCCCCCTACTGGGCCATGGGAGATAATAAAAGTATAAAAGAGAAGGTTAAGTAGTACCAAGTAATGCCTTTGTTACTACTGTGTTAAAGCGGATCAGTAACATGAAAGGCAAGATTTCTCAGGAAACAACATGAAGTGCAGATAAGGGTATTGTAAAACAAGAGCTGAGTAACAGTTGCTACATTTTAGGACTTTCAGTTCCAGGGCTACAACAAAAAATAAAGAGCTGAGTAACAGTTGCTACATTTTAGGACTTTCAGTTCCAGGGCTACAACAAAAAATTCAGAGACTTCACGGAGACCACCAGCACTAGTGCTAGTAGGCAACAAGAAATATTTTCCTGGTCCTTCTGTAGACAAAGCCGTAGGGCACGTCCTCAAGTGCTCAGGCTGCCCTGTGCAGCTTATAAACTTGGGTGCTGTGGTGGCAAGGAAGGCAATATAAATGAGACTGCAAGAAAAGAAAACATGG